TCTTCCTTCCTTCCTTCCTTCCTTCCTTCCTTCCTTCCTTCCTTCCTTCCTCCCTTCCTTCCTCCCTTCCTTCCTATGTATTTGGTACAGGGTCTCTCACTACACAACTCAGACTCGTAGTGACCCTCCTGTTTTCAGCCTCCCCAGTGCTGTCATGACAGGCATGAGACACCACGCCAGGTCTTGGTGGCCAGCTTAGTACTCTTGGGAGCCGGGCCGGTGTGGCACGCGGTACCGGGGCTGGAACCTGGGTCCCTGAGCTTGCCTGCTGACTATCTTGCCCACCCTTCCATCTTTATTTTGAGTCAGGGTCTTACTAAGGTGACCAGACCCTCCTACCTTAGCCTCTCAAGGAGCTGGGGTCTCAGGCATGGGCCAAACATATCTGGTTGTATGAACCTCACTCTTGAAACACTTAGGTACACAGTTTGTAAGTTTATGCAAATCACGAGCAAAATTTTAACAAATAGGTGTTTAACTTCTTGTTTCTCTTTTTTGTACTTTGGGGAACCAAACACTTTATGCTCTACTATGAATTGGATGAATGAGAGCACCCCCCAGGAGTTTGTTCTGTTGGGTTTTTCGGACCGGCCCTGGCTGGCGCTGCCGCTCTTCGTGGTGTTCCTGGTTTCCTATGTCCTCACCATCTTCGGCAATGTGGCCATCATCCTGGTGTCGCGTCTGGACGCCAAGCTGCACACCCCCATGTACTTCTTCCTCACCAACCTCTCACTGCTGGACCTCTGCTACACCACGAGCACCGTGCCCCAGATGCTGGTGAACATCGGCAGCTCCCGGAAGGTGATCAGCTTCGGCGGCTGCGTGGCCCAGCTCTTCATCTTCCTGGCCTTGGGCTCCACCGAGTGTCTCCTCCTGGGCGTCATGTCCTTCGACAGGTTCGTGGCCATCTGCCGGCCTCTGCACTACTCGGTCATCATGCACCACAGGCTGTGCCTGCAGCTGGCGGCGGCGTCCTGGCTCAGCGGCTTCAGCAACTCAGTGCTGCAGTCCACCTGGACCCTGCAGATGCCTCTGTGTGGTCACAGAGAGGTCGACCACTTCTTCTGTGAGGTCCCCGCCCTGCTCAAGTTGTCCTGCGTGGACACCACAGCCAATGAGGCTGAGCTCTTCTTCATCAGCGTGCTCTTCCTTTTGATACCTGTGACCCTAATCCTTATATCTTATGCCTTCATTGTCCGTGCAGTGCTGAGGATGCAGTCAGCGGAAGGTCGGCGCAAGGCCTTTGGGACATGTGGCTCCCACCTAATAGTGGTGACACTGTTTTATGGCACTGCCATCTACATGTACCTGCAGCCACCATCTCCAGCCTCCAAAGACCGAGGAAAGATGGTGTCGCTTTTCTATGGGATCATCACACCCATGCTGAACCCCCTCATCTACACGCTGAGGAACAAAGAGGTAAAAGGGGCTTTCCGGAGGCTGATCGTGAAGGCCTTCATCATGAGAAAACAAGGACTGTCTAAGGGATAGGCGGGCCACACACAAGCTTAGCGGCCTGATTTAGTTCTGAGTTGCTTTCCTCCCACTGCCTTCAGAAGGAATGACTATGGTGATTTCCTACAATACGTCACGGCTGGAGAGCCACTTGCTTTCTATGGAATGAGCTCAGTAACGCACAAGTTCTAAGGATGCTCTTTCGTGTTTAACCTTTAACCAAACTGTTTAACCTCAAAGTCAAAATTCTCAGGCTGGCTGGTTTATATATTTGAGAGCAAGTCTTAGATCTCTTTGAGATTAGAGTGAAAGTACAGGAATCCTTTCCCGAGAAATGAAGCTCCGCACAAGCATACTCACCAAAACTCCACACCACGCCCGCCCCCGTGCCCCACACGCTTTCTCAGATATTTATACATCTAAAAGAAGTCTGCGAAACCGTCTGCAGCTTCCCTCTTCCTAATTACAAAGTCAAGGTGACCATTCACCTCTGTCCACATCAGCACGATCCTAAAATCCGCACTGAATTTTTCCCCCATTTTACCCATGTTTGCTCTTCTCTTGTTTCTGATTTTCATTTCTCTAAAACTGACAACTTGTTCTATGTCACTGAACAAATAAAATTAAAGCTACATTTTTACACTAGCATCAAATGACTTATTTTTGACATTTTTATGATTTTCTCTACTATACATACTTCTGCCTGTAGCACTGAAGACATGTAGCTTAAATCCTAACCAGGGGCCAGGAGATAGTTCAGTAGAATAAGCGCTTGCCTGGCAAGTGCAAGGCCCTGAGTCCAATCCCCGGTTCAGAAAAAAAAAAAAAAAAAAAAATCCTAACCAAGTGCACATCCTACAGTGATAATCCACTGCTTGTCAATGCACCGTCTTGTGCAAGAAGAACAGTTTACTAGCTCCATACAGGTCCTCTGGGGCCGCACAGGCTGTAAGTTATATGCACTCACACAGTCTTTCAGGACTCATCAAAGTGTGAAAGTATTTGTGCATTGCACGAGGCTTATTCCTCTGCTTTTGTGACTCCTGTTTTTGTGACTTGTTGCCCTGTAATTAGCTGCTTCTATACTATCCTTATTGTCACTGTTTTTCTTCCATCAAATGTACCATTAAAAACAGAAAATGCAATTGCAAAAAAAATACAATTAGATTTTTTCTCTGTGAGGCCTCATAATAACAACTCCTTGGGTTTGTTTGGTTTTTGGGACAGTGTCACTATATAGTTCCGGCTGGGCTTGAACTCAGTGTGTGGCCAAGGCTGGCCTCCAACTCAGGTGATCCTTCTGCCTCAGCCTCCTGAGTGCTGGGCCTATGACGAGCACCACCAAGCCGGGCTGCAAGCTTCTGCCTTCGTGCGACCTCACGTGGCCTGGTAGATCGTAAATGTTCAGTGTGCATCACAGTCACCTGGAGGCCTCATAAAATCTCGATTGCTGGGGATCCCTGCTCTGAATTCCTGATTCCATGGGCCTGAGTGGGGACTCGGACTTTGAGCCCCTACAAATTCTCAGGTATGCTCATGTATCTGGGACCAGACCTCACGAACTGCTGTGTGGCCACAGTGGCCAAGCCTGCAGGCCCAGCACTGTGGGGAGGCTGAGACGGGAGGATCACATGTCCAGCCTCCACCTGTGCATGGTAGCAAGACTCTGCTTTAAACGTTAAAAAATGTACAAAGGGCTTGCATGAAGCTCAGGGGTAGGATGCCCCTGGGTGCTGACTGTCAGTACGACCGAAAACAACAAAGGAAAATCCCCACAAGCAACAACAGGAACCTTGCAGTATTAACAGTTAAAATGAAGGTGTTCTGTTGAGTTCCTATCCTCCTTCATTTCTCTTAAGAAGACTTATAAGCAAAGAGAAGATGGGCAAACCACTAAACAAGTGTGGTGAAATGTGACAGGACATTCCTTAGACAATGCATTCTTACATTAGAAAGCGGGTTTTTATCTTAAAAGTCTAAGCAAATGTTGTATCAAATTTCCAGACATACTCCGATGTTATCTTAAAGTCAGTTCCTCTTAATGAATTGTGGGAAAACTTAACAGAGAAACCACAGGGATGGGAATCGAGGTATTTAACATTTTCTTGAATGAACAGCTGATTCAGCGCATTGCATACTAGTCAGTTTTAGTTTGGATTCTCTACAAAATTCTCTATATATTTTCACATCTGTTGTATTTGCTGACGAGTTTAGAATATATTATCTAGTTGCTAGATATGTTAATAAATCTTAATAAATCCTTTCAAATAACTTAGCAAAACAAGGAAAGATAAAGCTTCATGCTGTAGGAACAATCCTCTTCACAATTTACCTGGTTGAAAATTAGCATATGACAATTTCCAGTAAGAGTGATATAAAGTAATGCCTGTTTCTAAAAGAACCTCACGAAGAGGTGGCTTTTCCTGCGAGGCCACTCTCACTGATGAGGGCAGCCACCTGGAAGGAAGTGCCGCGCGCCTTGCAGGCCTGGGCGTGTTGTTCAATCCCTGGGTTTTTCTTGCCCTTATCAGTGATCACAGTAGGTATGTTGTGACACATTTGTTGCCTGAGTAGAATCACTCTAGATGTCTGTATTTTATTCCTATGTAGTGTTCATTATAATTTTTTCAGAACTAGTTTATACAAACTTTAGATATAAATAAGCCAGGCGTGGGGGTGCATGTCTGTCGTCCCAGCACTGGTGAGGCTGAGGCAGGAGGACAGTTGCAAGTTCGAGACCAGCGTGGTCTACCGAGTGAGCTCAAGGACAGCCTGAACTGCACAGCGAGACCCTGTCTCAAGAGCCATGACCTTCCGTGTCTGGGGGGTTAGTTCCAGGGCCTCAGTGAGCGTGAGAAGCTGCAGGTGCTCACACACGTCCGACGAGCTCGGCAGTGTGTGCGCCTGGCCTGAGCGCACCCCCGTGCGTGCTAGGTCATCTTCGGATGACTTGTGACAGCCAGCACAGTGTGCATGCGATGCAGACAGAGCTACACCCTATTGTTAGGAGTAAATGACAAGAGAAAAGTCTGTGCTGAAGGTATTTGGAAAACACATTTTGATTTGAAGTTAGCTGAGTTCACAGAGGCAGATCTCAGGAGTACAGAGGCCTGTGTGCCAGCGGGCACAAGGTGAAATCATTTTCATTCTCTCTCTCTCTTGCTCTCTTCCTTTTCTCTATCTCTCCCATTCTCTATTTTAAATAAAAGTATTGGAATCTGATTAAAAAGACATATGTTTTCTGTTTTTTATCCAAAAATTAAGGGGCTGGGGAGATGGCTCAGTAGAATGAACGCTTCCCTTGCAAATTCATGGTCCTGAGTTCAATCCCTGGTTCCACCAAAAAAACAAAACAAACGAACAAACAAAAATCCTTAAAAGGAGTTATAGCACTAAGTCATTAATAGGTTGGCTCATAAAATGAAAGGACACTAAGTATCATTTAGGGTAAAAAAGCTTTAGAAAGGAAAACTTCACTGCATGTGTAGGTATAACAGTCCTAAGCAGGACTTTAAAAGAAAAAGCCAGGTTTCCAGACCTCCCCTCCCTACAGCTGTTGTTGTTTGTTCCAATAGATAAAAGCAGTAACTTTTGTCCCGGCAAGTAACATTTTATACCCTCCTCTTCCCATAACATCCCCTGGGCCTGAGCAGGGCTGCCAAGACACACAGCAGTCGCCACAAGCTCCCTTCTGCTGTGCGCAGGCTCCCCGCTGAAGGCCGGCCCTCGGCAGAATGTGTAGAACCAGGACCTTCTGCGAGCTCGGAGCGCAGCCTTCCGACACAGGTCTGCTGGGTGCTTCCTAAAGCCAGCTGCAGTCCTCCCACTTCCTATTGGTTTCTCTGATCTCTTCAATTCTGAGACAGAACAGCTAGGAGTGTGGCATTCACGGGTGATCCTAGGGTTGCGAGGCTGGGACAGGAGGATTTCTGTGGCCAGGCTGGGCTACTCCGAGGTGGGTTCAAGGCCAGCCTGAGCTAGAGTGAGACTCCGTCTCAACAAACAAGCAAAACAAGTTTTTATTTGTAAAGTTATCAGGAAATATGTTCTCTACTACACAACAAGTACTATTATGACTTTAAACACTCCCTCAGAGTTCAGAAAAAGCACGACTATCTGCCAGTCTTCATTTCAGGGAAGGATGCCGGTGATGCCGCCGCTCTACTTCGGTATTCTGCATTCACCTCTGCTGTGTTGGAGCCCCATCTACAGGGTGGGGCCTGAGGGGAAGTGTGGGCAGAATTCAGCTCAGTGGGCAGTGCCTGCCTGGCAAGCACAAGGCCCTGAGTTTGATTCCCAGTACCCCCAAATATGGAGGAGGATATGGAGAAGGCCTGCAGGTGAGTCAAGGAGGTGCTTCCTTAGCCTCCAGGTTACCCCAACTTCACACGTGCTAGGAGGCACCTTGCTTTCCCCACACTCAACTTCCTAACCTTTGCAGTTTAGCCATAACTGACGACTTTACCACCTTGGTCCACCAGGCGGCAGTCACAACACAGTTCCATTGCAGATGTGGATGGCACTTTGCATGTTCGTGGCTCTCTCCTCTCTGCAGGCCTCCCAGGCAGCTGGAACCACCATGTGCCAGTCTGTGTGTGGTGGGAATAACTGTCCCCAGAGGCCAGGGACTAAAGTTTGGTTGCAGCCTGTGGCACCATTGGGAGATTGTGGTACCTGTTAGGGGGCGGGCTCATGGCAGGAAGTGAGGTGAGGGGCCTGGCCTTACAGGGGCTATGGGTACCCTGCCCCTCCTAGCCCTGCTTTTGTTTCCCAGCCACCAGGAGCAGAGCAGCCACACCCCCTGCCACAGCAGAAGGGCGTGGAGTCAAGGGACTGCCATCTGAGACTTTTGAACTGTGTACCAAAATAAGGCTTCCTTGCCAGAAGTGGCACAGGCCTGTAATTCCAGCATTACGGAGGCTGAGGCAGGAGGGCCACTGTGAGTTAGAGGCCAGCCCGAGCTACAAATTGAGTTCAAGACCAGCATAAACTGCAAAGAATGACTCTGCCTCAAAAGGACAGCAACAATAACAATA